AGGATGTGGAGAATTAAGAACACTTTTACGCTGTTGGTGAGAGTATAAATTAGTTCAACCATTGTGGAAGACAGTGTGGCAATTCCTCAAGGATCTAGAACTAGAAATATGATTTGACCCAGCAATCGCATTACTGGGTATACACCCAAAGGATTATACATCATTCCACCATAAAGACACATGCACATGTATGTTTATTGCAGCACCATTCACAATAGCAAAGACTTGGAACCAACCAAAATGCTCATCAATGATAGACTGGATAAAGAAAATGTGGCACATATACACCATAGAATACTATGCAGCCATAAAGAAGGATGAGTTCATGTCCTTTGCAGGGACATGCATAAAGCTGGAAACCATCATTCTCAGCAAACTAATCCAAGAACAGAAAACCAAACATCCGATGTTCTCACTCATAAATGAGAATTGAACAGTGAGAACACATGGACACAGGGAGGGGAACACCACACACTGAGGCCTGTCTAGGGATAGGGGCTGGGGGAAGGTTAGCATTGGGTGAAATACCTAATGTAGATGATGTGTTGATGTGTGCAGTAAACCACCATGGCACATGTATACCTATGTAACAATCCTGCACGTTCTGCACATGCACGCTAGAACTTAAAGTATAATTAAAAAAAAAAAAATCTCAAACAACTCACTGAAGTGTCTCAAAGCTGAACAAGTTTTACCAAAATGAATCCTTCTCAGTTAACTGATCAAATGGATGAATCCTGACCCTTTGAAGTCTCTTTCCCGAGTTAGAGCAGGGAACTGCTCTGAGTGTTAACTGTTAGTTTCACTGCAGTGTCCTACCGTATTTTACAAGAAGATCAAAATGCAAACTGCAGACCTAGGCTTGATTCCCAAGTCACAGTCTGACCCCTGCTACAGGAGGTTACCCAACTCAGGAAGAGATAGAAATAGGGAATTTGAAGGAATAGTGAGGCGACCAGAGAGATTTTATTAAGTCTGGTTTCCACATGAATTAAAAGGAAGGATGTCGTCAAGGGTTTGGTGCTACAGTCAAAAGAATAAATAAGTCAATGAAGAAATACCTTCATTGTCTGTGGTTTTCATGCAGATATAACTCATGGAGGTAGATATCTCTCCAAAACAGACAAATCCAAGGCTGTGAAGTGAATGAGCATCTGCATTTGAATTCCACAAAACCAAAATCTGTGTTGAACAAAGTGAAATCTGTACACAGCATTGCAAATGCAAACACATTCCTGTGTGAGGCACATCACCATTTGTCAGTTATTGTAAATATGTGTATTTTTAAGCAATAGAATTCAGCTCGTCAGTTTTCCGGGCAATCTTAGAGATGCATTTCCTGTGCTGTGGTTGTTCTCTAACCACTGTGAGAAACCCAAATAAAAATTGATTCCCCCCACTCCAAAAAAATATGTATCACAAAATCATATTAATCAAAACAATGTGATACTTGCACAAAAACAGACACATTGACCAGGGGAACAGAATAGGAGCCCAGAAACAAACTCATGCATTTATGGCCAATAGATTTTTAACAAAGGTTCCCAGAACATGTAATGAAGAATACACTGTTGTTTCAATAAATGGCGTTAAGAAAACTAGGTATCCAAATGCAGAAGAACATGAATGTGTATGGTGTGTACCCCTATCTCATACCATACACAAAAATCAATTCAAAATGGATTAAAGGTTTAAACATAAAACTGTAAAACTACTAGAAGAAAACATAGGGGAAAAGTTCCACAATGTTGATTTGGTCAAAGATTTCTTGGATATAATCCCCAAAACACAGGCAACAAAAGCAAAAATATATGGGATTGCATCAAACTAAAAAGCTGCTGCAGAGCAAAGGAAACAATATGAGGAAGAGACAACCTACAAGTTGTGAGAAAATATTTGCAAAGCATACATCTGATGAAAGGCTAATCTCCAAATGTATAAGGAACTCAATTCAATACCAAGAAAACAAATAACCAAGTCAAAAAACGGGCAAGGTCCTAAATAGACATTTCTCAAAAAAATACACACAAATGGCTAACATAAAAAAGTTTGTCATGCTAATTATCAGGGAAATGCATATTAAAATGACAGTGAGATGCTACTTCATACCTGTTAGAATAGCTACTATCAAAACAATAAAAGATAACAAGTGTTGAAGAGGATACAGAGAAAAGGGTACCCCCGTACACTGTTGCTGAAAATGTAAATTAATACTATTACGAAAAATAGATGAAAGTTACTCGTAAAACTAAAAATAGAATTACTATATGATCCAGCAATCCCACTTCCTTGTATATTTCCAAAGGAATTGAAGTCAGTATGCTGAAGAGATATCTCCAGGCTCATGTTCATTGCAGCATTACTCACAATACCCAAATATGCAATCAACACAGGTATCTATCAACAGACAAATGGATGAAGAAAATGTAGTGTATATAGACAATGGAATACTACTCAGTCTTAATAGGAAGGAAAACCTGATATTTGTGACAACATGAATGAACCCAGAAGACATCATGCTAAGTGAAATAAGCCAGGCAAGAAAAGACAAATATCACATGATCTCACTGATATGTGGAATCTAAAAAAGTTGAATTCATAGAAGTAGAGAATGGAACAGTGATTATTAGAGGCTAGGAGTTGGGGGTAGATATGAAAAAGGTAGATGTTGATAAAAGGGTTCAAAGTTTCAGTTAGACAAAGTTTCAGTGAACTATTGCACAAAATGGTGACTGTAATAAACAACAAGGTATCATATGTTTCAAAATGAACAGAGTAGATTTTAAATGTTTTCACCACAAAAAAAGATATGTATGTCAATGAGATCAACCTAATCATTCCACAATTTAAACATGTATCAAAACATTACATTATACCCCATAAATATATACAATTATTATTTGTCAATTTAAATTTTTTCACTAATTTATATTGTTATTGTCTCACCAACTTCTTTCCATCAGGCAGATTCTCATAAAGACTATTTTCTCTCTTATATAAAGCATTTCTTACACACCTCTTAATCATGGTAGCATTGACATTATTCCACCAGATTCTATCTCCAGTGTTAAAATAATCAAGAACCCAGAAATCTCCACCAGGGGGCCACCAATGCATATCAAAGTTTTCCACTTTCCTTTAGATTTACTTAAGGGTAGCTTACGGGAAAAAATACTTAAGTATTTCCCTTTTTAAAGAAAAAAATTATATGAATTCTACAAAATTATGGCAGAAAATTTAAGAAGAGCACATGCTTCCCAACTCATTCTAAAGGGCCAGCATTACCTTGATTCTAAAACAAAAAAATATTTACAAAATCCAAGATCCATTCCTGACTAAGGATGAAAGAAATTTTCAGCAAACTGAATAAAGAAAGCTTTCTCAGCCTGTTAAAGAGTACCTATGAAAAAATTATAGCTATCATTATACTTAATGATGAAATATTGAATACATTGTAACAGGAACAAGTCAAAGATGTCTGCTATAACTAATTCTACTCAGCATTCAACAAAATGAATATAATAAATTCATACTAGAATTTTAAAAGTAAATTTCTTTATTCACTGACAACATAATCATCTATAAAGAAAATCCTACATAATCTATAAAACACTGATAGAACTAACAAGTTTTGCTTATATCCTGTAAAGGATATAGGATATAAAGTCAAACAAAGGATATAAAGTCAAACAAAGATTATGTGCCCATAAGCTAAGAATAAACAATTGTAAATTGAAATAAAAACCAACATCATTTAAAAGATCATCAGAAATATGAAACTTAGAGATAAATATAAAGTACATACGCAAAACCTGTTCACCAAAAACTATAAAACTGAAGGGGTGGCCTGCCCCTCCACACCTGTGGGCATTTCTCATTAGGTGGAATGAGAGACTTGAGAAAAGAAATGAGACACAGAGACAAACTACAGAGAAAGAAAAAGTTGGCCCAGGGGACCAGCGCTCAGCATACAGAGGACCCCCGCCAGCACCGGTCTCTGAGTTCCCTCAGTATTTATTGATCATTATCTTTACCATCTCAGAAAAAGGGAAGTAGCAGGACAATAGGATCATAGTAGGGAGAAGGTCAGCAGAAAGAAATATGAAGAAAGATCTCTGTGACATGAATAAGTTTAAGGAAAAGTGCTGTGCCTTGATATGCATATGCAAACATCTCCATTAACCTTTTTAGAGCATAAAGAGCAGCAATGCCGCTAGCACATCCGCACCTTCAGTCCTAAGGCGGTTTTCTCCCATCTCAGTAAATAGAACCTACAATGGGGTTTTACACCAAGACATTCCATTGCCTAGGGACGGGCAGGAGACAAATGCCTTTCTCTATCTCAACTGCCAAGAGGCCTTCTTTCCTCTTATACTAGTCCTCCTCAGCACAGACCCTTCACGGGTATCAGGCTGGGGGACGATCAGGTCTTTCCCTTCCCACGAGACCATATTTCAGACTATCACATGGTGAGAAACCTTGGACAATACCTAGCTTTCCTAGGCAGAGGTCCCTGCGACCTTCTGCAGTGTATGTGTCCCTGAGTACTTAACATTAAGAGAACAGTGATGACTTTTAACAAGCATACTGCCTTCAGGCACTTGTTTAACAAAGCACACCCTACACAACTTCAAATCCATTAAACCTTGAGTCACCACAGCACATGTCTCTCACAAGGACAGGGTTGGGGGTAGGGTTACAGATTAACAGCATCTCAAATACAAAACAAAATGGCGTCTCTTACGTCTACTTCTTTCTGTATAGACACAGTAACAGTCTGATCTCTCTTTCTTTTCCCTACACAAAACATTGCTAAAAGAAATTAAATGGGCATAACATAGATGTAGAGATGTATTGAATTTATGACTCATTTTGAACAAGGAATACATACATTCATCAGATAAGAATTATGTTACAGGTCTAATAACATTCTAATCAATATGTGATGTCTCATAGTTCCTGAATCTAAAATATCAAAGAAAGAAACATAAAGTCATATCACGTTTAATGAGAAGGCCTTATTGTATCATTTATGAGATCTTCTTGTAAATCACCAGCTGCTTACATACTCTCTTTATTGCTGCCTTCATCTCCTTATTCCTGAATGTATAGACGACTGGATTCAGAAAAGGAGTGAGAACTGCATCAAAAATAGCCAGAAACTTGTCCATCTGTGAATTAGGGTGTGGCCATGTATACACAAACACGGGTGGGCCAAAGAACAAAAGGACCACTGTGATGTGAGCTGAAAGAGTGGGAAGGGCCTTGGATGAACCACCTGAGGAATGTTTCCTAACAGTAAACAGGATGAAGATGTAGGAGATTAGAAGTATGAAGAAAGTACCCACACAGATAAACCCACTGTTGACAATGACCATGAACTGCAATCTGTAGGTGTCGGTACAGGCTAGTCTGAGAAGCCGAGGAAGATCACAGTAGAAGCTGTCCAATACATTAGGGCCACAGAAGGGTAAATTAACAAGAAATGCCAGTTGGAACAGGGAGTGACTGACACCAAGGGTCCAGGCAACAGCCAGAAATAAAATGCACATTCTTGGGCTCATAATGGTCAGATAGTGGAGGGGCTTACATATGGCCACGTATCTGTCAAAGGCCATGGCTATGAGCAGCACCATCTCCACACCACCAATGACGTGGATGAAGAAGATTTGAGCGATGCAGCCTCCAAAGGAGATGACTTTGTGTTCTCGGAACAGATCATAAATCATCTTGGGAGAAGTAACAGAGCAGGCTCCTAAGTCAATGAAGGAGAGACTGGCCAGTAGAAAGTACATGGGGGAGTGTAAGTGAGGGTCAGTGGCCACAGAAAACACAATGAGGATGTTTCCGGTAATGCTCGCCACATAGAGCACAGAGGAAAACACTAGGAGGAGGAGCTGTTTCTCCCATGAATGAGTGAGTCCCAGAAACACAAACTCAGATACCACTGAGTGATTCTCGCCATCCATTGGTCCAGCCAACTGGGCTGTGGCTAAAATTATGAGAACTAAGAAAATGGGGAGGAAATTATGATTATGAAGATAATAATATGTACTAAAATCATTAATATTGCAATGTTCTCACTATGAATAAATAGTATACAGTTATTCAGTTCCTCACATATAAAAAATAACAAAAAATCAACATATTATAACAACATGTGAGCTGCAACCTGATTTAAACCCATCATCAATACTTTCAGTGTAATATCTGCTTTCAAATTAACAGGTTAGGTAAGGACAAAAGATTCCTGACAATCCATGAAATTCATCAGGTGTTTAAATCACCTGTGATATTGACTATTCCTCATTTCCAGCCAGCATATTCCATTTGTATTTATACATATTCTCATAATTTCCTTCCCTTCCCAGTTTGCACTCACAATTCTCTGACAGAAAGTAGACATAAAAGGAAAACATGATTAACAGATGAATTATCACCTGCAGTAAGAGGTGCCTGGGACAGACTTAGTTGAGATAGGCTGTGGATTGAGACAAAATATAGAGACTGGGGTATGTGAAATCGGAAAGCCCACAACTGTAAAAGAACAGAGTAAGTAGACTTTCACAAGAAATAGAATCACCACCATTATCCACTACATTTTCTCATGCTCACTGCTATTTAAGTGCCTCAGTTTCAATACAATCTTTCACAATTACGAAGCCCTAAATGGCTTCCCATCCTGCAACGATTTCATAAGGAGCCTATGCCACCTGTCGTGTAAGGCTTTTTCCATGCATAATAAATATGTTTTGGAGGGATTTCACCAGAGTTTCTGCTAAGATACGTCCATAAAATGGCCACAGAGGTTGTGAGAAATCTCTGCAGTTTCTCTTTGTCTGTACACATGAAGGTATTGAGGACCAGAACTTGGATTAGTTAAGATAATGTTTTAATTCTTCTCTGTCTCTTCCTCCCCTTGGTACCAGCTTTCATGTTCATTGCATCCCCCACCCTTTCAAGTACACAGTACCCCCCTGCATGGTAACCTATTCTGATATTTGATATTATCATGCTTAATTTGACTGAATCCATTTGGATATTTTATCTTTAAGAAATTTGTAGTTTTATACTTTTAATTCATGATAAAATTAGATTAATGTCAAACATTAATAAGTCACTTTTTAGAAGGGATATGAGCTTTCTTATTGACCTCAAACTATAAAGTACAAACTGTGACACTAGAAATTTAGTCCTTTAACACATATTGTATTTATATGTGAAGTGGAGGGTGAGCAGAAAACAGTGTTATATTTCTCTGTGTCCAGATGGATACTCACCTTAATCATTTTCCTATAGTAGGAAGTAGTTCCTGAAAATACTTAATAGAGGTTAATTATTTTAGAAGCCGCTGAGATACAAATAAAACTGCTATGCTGGCATCATACATTTTTGCACCTACAGCTCCAGTTCTTCTGACACAAAGGGCCATCTTCCTGGTGCCATAATTTATCCTAGACCCCAAAACTCACAGAGGCACACATGTCATCTCTCTAATACTTGCTCACCACCACCAGCATGAGTCTCTATCCTCTTCTACACGGAATGATTATACTGTCACCTCTGGAGCTAATAGTCCACAGTCTCAAGATGCACACTTTTTACAACCAGAAGCCTATGGACTGGGTGAAAGAGCAGAAACAGCCACAGGTACTGCCTATCAGGATAATGTAAGTCAGCATGCAAAGAACTGATCAGATGAACATGAATAGCAAGGTGATGAGGCACTGGGAAGAGGGGCAGGAAAACTCTGTAATTGCTGAAAAAGACTCAAGGCCTTCGGGAGGGAAAGCACATGTTCCCAGTGTGACAGGACAAAAATGCATATGGAATTATATAAAGACCATTTTATCCAAGTTGGTCATCATTCAGATGAAAAACGTGAGGCCTAGAAAAGTAAACTGAGTTTCCAAAATTCACACAATTGATAGAATAGGAACCAGAACCCAGGCCTCTTGATTCCTATTCCAGAAAGACAAGTTACAATAATAATCAAATAATATGAGCAATCAAGTAAAAAATAATCTAGTAAAAACAGCAAAACTCAGAAAAGTGATTTTTCCTGGTTAAGACCAAAACCAACCATAGATTGCTATACATAGTATCTATTATAAATACTGAATTATATAGCAGCCTAACAATAAATACATAAAGTGTGTACACAGTTAAAGATTACTGAACTAGTACAATACAATAGTAAATAGCAATTTGCGAAGTGATTGATCATTACTATCAGAATTTGTTTACCCATTCTTCATATTTTGTTGGTTATATAACCAGTTACTACAACTGTAAAAACAACTTAAGGTCATGTTTCTGTGAAGTCCATCCTTTTGGTCTTAAAATTTTATTATCCTCAAAGATCAATTACAATGTTAATCTTTTCTTGTAATTTTACCAACAATTCTCCTTCACACTGATTTGTTCTTTCTCTAATTCCTGTAAATAGAACCAAAAAAAGTTGAAAAAATATGTATTGTACATATAACAAACAATCATATGTGGTATACAATATATATCAAATGAGTGTTAAGATAAACATTTGACGAGTTTTAAAGAAAAAAGTGTTATAGATATTGGAGGGCAGAAGATACAGTTGCCATTAAGAACAGGTGGAGGAGGTTATGCCAAGGACATTGACCTGACCCTTTGGGAATTAGTGAAAATTTAATAGGAGAAGAATGAGGTGTACAATGTGTGAAAAATACCCAAATCAATATAAGAGGAGGAGACTTTTTCATATCAATTATCATTACTTCCATATATATAACCATATTAGATACCCACATACAAATAGAAAGTGGATAGTTCTTGATTGACAAGTTGGATTAATAATCCCAGATCATAGTAAGACCATACCTTCAAGTTAATAATCTTTATTATTTATGGTTCATTCCTCTCCCTCATGTTTTCCAATAATTTTAACATGCATAATAAAAACAATTCTCATTTAAAAACTTATAGTAGCCATGACTAATAATCTTCCAGTGAGAAGGTACCTAAGACTTTACAACATATTTCTTGCTGGGGATAAGATAGAATAGCATCCCAAACCTACAGCCAGCATTCAACTCATTTTTCTAAAGTCTATGGAACAACTTGAAATACAGAAAAAGTAGAACAGAGATAAAGGTAAAAAAAGAAGATTAAAAATATGGGAAGAATGGGAGAAAGGGGAAATTAGAAGATATGAACCATTATTTAAAAATAAAAGAGATAGCTCAAAGGAGAAGAGAAACCGCTAATGAACACTAAGGTAGGATGAAGTACAGTAGTCTCTGTTTCTGAGAACACAGGTTAAAGAGAACATACATAAAATCAATTTCTCACCTTTAATACACTGATCTGGGGATGCTACTGACTTTGACATTGGGTTGCATTTAAAGGGGGAAAGAAAGGGCAGTTGCTTCTATTTCCTGCCCTGTTGGACTCACAGAGTTCCTGTGAAAAGCACAGATGATAACAAATGAAAATATTGACTTTTATACTATACAATAATATACACATGCAATTCACTGTAAAAAGTATATTTGTTATTATGATTTGAGGATCCTACCGTATACTAATCAAGAGAAAGACATGTACAGAACAAAGACAGCAAGCACAGGAAATTTTTACTAGTGTGTGTTTTCCTTATGTTCTACCACCCCAGGAGCAGCTTCTGCTACTGAAGGTCACAGCAGAGTTATTTCCAAAAGTTGTGGCTCTACAGGGTGGACTTAACACATAGCTGTTTATTAACATTCAAAAGTCCAGAAACCATTTCCAAATTTTCACCTCTTTTATCTTCAAATCCTAAAAATACAAAAATTCACAAACTTACTTCCATACATTAGAGTAGAAAGGTTAATAATTTGGACTTTGAGGTCGACCAGGCCTGATTTTAAATCCAGTCTCCACCACTCACTTGCTATGTTAACATAACAAATTTCCTAGACCTTTCTGAGCTTCAGTTTCCTTATTATTGAATTAGGGATATAGGTTAGAAGGAAGACGTTCTAGTATTTGATTGTACAGCAGAGAAATTATAGTTATTGATCTGGGGATATGTAGTTAGAAGTAATAACTTCTAGTATTCAATTGTACAATGGAGAAATCATAGTGAAGAATAATGTATTATATATTCTAAAATAGCTAGCAGAGAAAAATTACAATGTTCCCAACACAAAGAAAAGATAAATATTTGGGGTGATGAATATCCCAATTACCCTGATTTGATCATTACACATTGTACACGTGTATCAAAATATTACACATACCCCAAAACATATACAACTATGATATATCAATAAAAAAAAACCCAAAAGAATAGAAATCAAAAATAAATGCATAAATGCATAAAATGGGGATAATAAACCTCCCTTGCTTGCTTGCTTGCTCCCTTGCTCCATTTGTAAGAAATAAATGATATAATATAGGTAAAAATACTTAACCTCATACCTACCACATAGTATAGCACAATAAATGTTATTTATTATAAACCGAGGACTATCTACATAAGTGACTTTCAAGTATAGAAAATGATTTCTCAAATTTTAAATACTCCCTGATTCTCAGGTACGGTCATTAGACCTGGCTTTAGGTAAAGCTCTCATGTCTACACTTGCATTTAATCACTTAAGTATATTTCTCCTCCACCCAAAAAAAAGTTGCCCCGAGGTGGACACACTAATCAAAGACTGCCTGAGAAATGCAGGAAGAAGCTTTGTCCTCTGACCAGGCTATGCTCTTTCCTTAATGGTAAGCCCTATAATCCAAAGCCATAAATTTCAATTCCTCACATAAAAAGAAAAAAAAAATGTACTTTATGACTACTTCAGATAACACTGGGTATTTCCCTTGTCATTTAGGAATAAGAAATGGGAGGAAGGTAAACGTGTAGACAGGAGAATTGAAAGGTAGATGCTTGAAAGGTAGATGCTTGAAAGGATTTCTGAAAACTGTTCTCATCCAGGTGTACAAATGTGTTGACCAGCCAAGGCAAAGCAGTCAAACCATACAATACCTTATCCTCAGGAAAACTGACTTTTCTCCCAAATTGCCTTTTTCATGAAAAATATAAAATTCTCCAGTTTCAACCTCATGTTAAATTTTACAAGTGAAGAAAACAGATAGTTATGCACATCAGAAAGTTAAATGGCGCGTCAAGACCAAATTCCTAGTCACAGTTATGTTCTGTTTCCAGTATTACCTTCTCACTTATTCATTTTGTTGAAATGGATTTACTTACTATGTGTCACATATCAAGAAAGACTGAAGTCGTACAAAGCCGATCCTTATGCAATGTGCATACAAATACACATCAGGCACTTGTGATGCATATAGAAGTGGAACAAATCAGGCCAGGTGCAGTGGCTCACACCTGTCATCCCAGCACTTTGGGAGGCCAAAGCAATCAAATCCCTTGAGCTCAGGAGTTCAAGAAGTGTAACAAATCCTCTACAATATAAGTAGAGTGAAAGGAGCTACAGCGATGAAGGAAGTCCTTATAGTGATGTGGCATTTGAGTATAGCCATAAAAAGGATAAATATTACAATATACAAATATAGGGTCTAAAGAAGTCTTTTCAAGTAGATTGTAAGATATTTCAAAAATGGTAAATTTGGTGTATGTTGAAGCATACAGAGTGTCTACACCCTAAAAATCATTTTGGTGAAGAAGGGAAAATAAAATAAGAAAGGTAGTCAAGATTCACCTGTTGCCTATCATTAGAAACTTCTCGAAGGTATATGTGAATTATCAAATACATTTAGGGAGCCAGTGAAGGTATAGGTCC